TGTGTGTGTGTGTGTGTGTGTGTGGGTATGGCTATACGATCTCTAAGAGCGACAATTAAACCTAAAATACACACTGCTATCAAACCTACATAGGGCGGCCGGTGCTATACGGTGGAAAGACTTGGGAGACACCAGTAGCTCTCGGACCGCTCTGTACATTGCTGTATTAGGCTAACACCCGTTTTCTGATAAAAACTAGTAGACCTGTATATGTGTGGGACTGTGCGTTCTACTGAGTGTTGATCGAGTCGTACTTAAAACAAGTTACACACCCAAAAGTATTCCTACATACGATTAGTAAATCAAATTGGAAAGCTCTATGACACATTTTATAATATTTTATATATATAAAAATGAATATGATATTTTATGTACGTGTGTGAATATATAGTTACTATTTTAGAGTAGGGTTTTAGTGTTCTAGTTTGACAGTTCGGTACCCCATTTCAAAGTCGATTCAATATTCATTCAGTTTGAGTCATCGACAATTCGACTCATCGGACTAATATTCTATTTACTCATCACATCAACATCACGGGTGAATGAGTATGACTGAAGTCTGAAAGTGAAGTCTGAAGGCCGAAGGGGGCCGATGGCCGAAGCCTGACCTTTTTGTTAAAAAATAACATATAGGCACCCCTTGTTATAATACCGTATTTTAAAATTGGTTTAATTATTTTTTTAAACACCAAAAAAAGTGAATACTTTCATATGTACCTCATTTTTTAAAAACGGATTTATTGAGGTTTCTAGAGGAGTTGTAAACATGTATGTAGCCACCCCTTCAAAAAGGAGGAGGACTTCTTTTATAGATTGAGTCATTGAGGTTGTAAATTAAAATACTGAAGGCTATGGTCTATGGACCCAATACGTAGGCAATAAATAATCAGATTGAGGATATTTATAGACTTTAAAGTTTAAACTATAGACCTCTAGTATTTAACGGATTTTATAAATGGTCTAATTTAGAAGGCTATGATTTTTTTAATCTATAGACCCTAATATTTAATGGATTTAGGTTGGACTGAAAAGCAATGTATGGACCTCGAGTCCTCGAGTCCTCGATAATTAAATAAATATTTACAATCATCATATTTAAAAATCACATTTTTAATACTTCGGATCGAAATCTCCAAATTTAAAATTAGTACACATTTCATATTCCTGCCTCAGGCCTAGGGAGAACACTCCGCACTATTTATATCAAGAGGTATAAACATAAAATAAATCAACAGTTCAAACTTCAACACCAAGTCCAACTAAATACAGTCCTCACCCGTGGTTGCCAAGGAAGATATTTATTTCTTACCATGATTTCATTTGTAGCCAGTCAAGTGCTTTATTTATATCACAGAAAGTTCTTCCCGTGCTACGTATCGATTGATGTCTGTAAATCGAAATTTTGTGTTTTTTTTTAAACTATACAGTAGTATAGTGTATACACACCTCCTTGGTTAGTATCCATATCTATTTGTTAAATTAAATTGTTTATACAACTGTTAAATATTGTGAAGAAAAAAAATGATCGACTGTTGTTTAAGTATGATGTTGTTTCTAAAAAAAACGGCCAAAAACCCATATAATTTTATTTATTTATTTAAAATATGGTTCCCAACTTGGCAACTTCCTATGTATTAATTATAAATACATATCCGCTGATTTCCAGTATCCGGCTATCCAGTAATACGGAATCGGGAATACCAGTCTCCGCCCTCTATTTATCACAACAAATGTTTATAGAATAACCAAAATAAAAACATAACACATACACACATTGAAACTCAATTACTTTGTTTTGTTTTTTATTTTGAAATATGACCTGTTCCAGACTGTCATCCTGACATTCAGTTGTGTTCAATGTCAATAAATAGTCTTCTATTATTCTGGACTGCAACTCGGTACATACATATGAAAAATGAACTAAAATAAATAAATATTGAGATACATTCATGTTCAAGCTTACGATACTTTATGTTCAATATTCTAACGACACGGTGGCGTTGGTCACAATAAGGCTATACTTTGTTCATACAATCTGCTATAGTGCACATGTGTTTATAAAATTAAAACGATAGATTTGATCACAAGAATGTTGTTTTGCCAAACTCTACAACTGTATCTTGATGTCTACAACGATTTTTATTATCATATATAGTCTGTCTACGACAATCAGAGTATTTCGACATCCTCAACCACTCCAGCACATACGTGCATTCTCCTCCACTGCAGCTGGTACAGGCGTCTGACAGATTTAGTTTCGTACGCACTCGCATGTGCATTCGCTGTGACCATAATCGTAGCTTGCGCTCGCGTGATTTTCTTGGCTACAGTTGTCCGAGTCGACAGGGCAGATGCAAATGGTTGTGTTGGCTACTAGCTCAGTTTGTATGGGATTCAGTGTCCCAATCAATCGACGAGATATTGGTGGCACCTGCTCTAGCGACTACAGCTACTTCAATCTGGACTGCCCTGTAACAACCAACAACTGTGAGGAGGGCTTCAACGCGAACGCATTCTACCAAAACTTTGAATGTATCTGTGTTTGTCGCCGTGACGAACGTCGTGAGGCTTCTGTCACCCCTGCGTTAGCCGAAGTGGCCAACTCTGTGCAGCCAATTCAGGCCCCGACTCGTCGTGATAACGGCGGCTCCTGCTCTAGCGACTACAACTATTGGGGTGTCGACAGCCCTGTCGACTCGGACAACTGCAGCCAAGGATATCACGCGAGCGCAAGCTACGATTATGGCCACAGCGAATGCACATGCGAGTGTGTACAAGACTAAATCTCATCCACACACACGGGTGCAAGCTGCAGCGGAGGAGAATGCGTGCATGTGTCGGAGTGGTTGACGATATAAATACTCATGCCTATATAACTGTGTTCGGATTTTTGAAAGAAGCGTGAGCTTTCGTATGATTGTCATAGACAGGCCTTTATATGTTAATAGAAACCGAGTTGCACATCAAAAATCCAATTGTGAGCCCATAAAAACGGAACTTCTTGTGACTAACTCCACTGAACATGTATGGACTGTAGATCTGAACATAGCGAGTTCTAAACAAAACTTGAATAAACCAGGGAGACACACTTAGTCGGACATTTTAAAGCACTCGAGATCTCGCTGTATAGCAAGCGATAGTACGGGGACAAGTTTCCCCCAGTCTACTATGTGTAAAAAGTACTAGCCGGCAGTGTTGCAATTAAATTTCGGTAAGAAATACCTTTAATATTCCAGGTGGGAGTATAGAACCGGATGCTGGTACAGAGATTATGCCTCACGCTCATCAGCTGTACCGGTCCATATACATGAAAATATTATATTTAAACGCTTTCCTTTGGTATGAATTGGATGATGGTTACCGGTCCCCACCCTTATCAGTTAGTGCCCGGTTGGGTCCAAGGCTTCAGAGATGGGTTTATACATTGAAGGTTGCGATCTCACGGAATGGGAGACCAACATATGGATGCTAAGATGTGGCCTCGAGACTTTACCGTATGACGATTTTGGAAGGGCATAAGGCATAGTTACCCCCCAATAGACGATGTGCAATCAATAACATATATGACGAGCGAATTAAAACAAGAGAGAAAGACGTACGTTCATACCTATAGTATAATACATAGCACATTTGGCGAGGTGTATGTGGCCATTATTTTCCATATCTATATATCACAGGCTCTTTATCGGGTCTTTTAACTACAGGTACATTTATTTCCTCAGCTACTCTAAGCATGGTGCAAAAGCTTATTTAACATAAGAGATCTTTCGGGATTTGATCACAATCCACTTGTTGCGCTTCATATACCAAGCTACGAGCGCAGCCATACCCAGAATGGACATACACTGCAAAGGAAGAATGAAGATAGCGAGAATATACAAACTGAGTTATTACATTGTGACTTGAATGGAAATACACTGAAAAGGACGAATGAAGATAGCGAGAATATACAAATTGGGTTAACACAGTGACTTGTCAAGAATTAGCGTGACAGATAGACATTGGTGTAATTACATCTAAAGGTTTTTATTCTATCGGATCAGCCCGTAAGATGGACAGATCACAGTGGGCCAAGAGTTGAAGTACGTATAAGAAAACATTATAATATTCAAATAAACGAAAACACACACACACACAAAATGATATCTACATGTCTATATACACAGTACATTACTGAGATACAGATTATTTTACCGTAATTTAAGCAGTGACTTTTGTATAGCAACACAAGAGCTGAGACCATCCGCGAGATGATATCTTCTTTAAAGAATGTTCGTTCATATTCAGGTCCAAATAAAAAGGTAATCATGCCTAAGCTCTGCACACTAAGGAAGAAAGACAACAGTATTCCATATATATGCACGGCCGATAGCAAACTATATACCCCCACATATACCAATATACTCGCATGCAATATATATATATACAAACACACACAAACAAAGCGCGTAGCATACCTTCATGCCCATTCGCTTTCGCTCGTCGTGCTCAGGCTCTGCACACCACGTGAGGAACGTGATGACATCCTTGGCCATCTGACTGGTAGTGGCTGGGGTACCATCCTCGTACTCAACCATACCGTCGTAGATAGGACGGGCCATACCAATAGCCAACCCAGGGAAGTACGGGTTAAAGTGCAAACCCTCACGGATGTTAACACCGGCGGGGGGTTCGTGGAAACCGGTCAGTAGAGCGAATAGATAGTCTTCTCGGCCGTGTCGCGCCTTCACAATGAGTGACAGATCGGGAGGTAACGCACCTGGTAGATGTAATTGTATGGGCTGGAGAGTTAGGAACGTGTGTAATGTATAGATATACTTACTTCCCAATATATACATATACATACATTCACACATTATACATACATATATACACACACACATCTGTTGCACTTACATAGATATAGATCTATATACTTATATATTATATACGTCTGTGAATATATCTGTATTTAAACTTCATATACACAGACCTATTTATTTGCATACATATCCATACAAACCCACTCACCACCACAAAAGCACCCCCCACTCACCTCCGTTCGCGAAACGAGCCGCCTCGTCGTTGGGGTAAGGCGAAGGCATGTGATCTGCCAGTTTTCCGGGACGGGTGAACATGTTACCTTCGTCATCCGGACCGTCCACTACCTCGATATCCTCAGCCAGCTCTTTGGCTTCGTTGACCGTGTGTGTGTTGCCGACCAGGTTACGGTAGCAGATGCGGCGGAGTGAATGGCACGCAGAGCACACCTCTTGGTACACCTGGGCATGCGGTGGGGGAGGGATAGGTTTGATCAATTTAGGACCACGTATACATTATATTATATATATGATAGATATAGATACATATATATGTTTGAGGATATACTGATATGGTTCTCCAAAGTGGTTTATCTTAGTCCAAACGTGTCACGAACATCAGAATGTACAGAACTACAATATAGCCGGGAATCAATCATGTATCTCGGTGTGCTTGGGGAAAAAGGGAGCAGGCCTAGGAAACGCCTACGGCTTGTCTACACGCCAATTTGCAGATCAAAATCTATCTACACAAACACAACACGTGGTGAAAGCAACTCTCTCATAAGTCTGAGTCATATGCTTTGTTGTACGACTGATTATGCTTGTTATCGAAATAAGTATGAAGCCCGCGCACACATATATCTATACGCTCTTATATACGCCGGAATATATATATATATAATCACTACCAGGCATCATATTGCGGCATGCGGTGGTACATACGCGGGCACTATATAGGACAATGCAAAGGTACTACCGCCTATTCATATAATATCATGGGCAACGGTGTTGCAGCACACACACCCGAACATATATTCAGCACATGCAGCATACGATATTCGAGATTTTGAATCTTCGAGGGATCTCCAAGGCAAGCTGGGGATAGACTAGTAACTTGCATGAAAACATGGACTCTTATACCTAGCGATATACAGAACCATAGATTCATGTGTACTTTATGGAACATGCATAGCTACCTGATCTATATAATATTGTTACATACGGAGGCAAATAATCGCGACAGTATATATAGTTGATGTACCTGCTATGCGTATGTGCAGTAACGTACAGTAGATATCGTTGATATACCTACAATGTGTGTATATACTGACGCACACATTCATTGTCATGTACATTCATATGGAGGTATACTAACGTACTGTGGATATACAATCCCAGCATATATATTCAGTATCAAGTCGCTTTCTATTTGACATCACACAGTACCGCTGGTTATATGTTGGCAACACGACCCGCAAATATGACTACACACACATTATAATATCTGATTGTAAACGCCGCGTATAGGCAAGTAACTTACATATGGCATATATACAGTATTGTATGTCGAATTTGAGTAGAACTTAAAGCATGACCGTCGAGCCTTCAAGACCTACGCTTCGTGTTCGACTGCATGGATACACAGTGTGCAGCAATACAGAACATAGCCACCTGCAGAAATGTCCCCACGTACACGTAAACCCGTATCCACTCAATTGCCTACACACACACCTGGAAACCTCGACGCATACTGGCGTGGTCTAGAGATTGGAGCAAGCCGTTGTGACTCCATGGGTACTGTGCGGGATGCAGGCCGTCGTCGCTGGCTAGAACAGTTCCAGTACCTGCACGGTGTGTTAATTCGTCATGTGAGAATTTAACCAATAAACGGTGTATTAAATTGGCATGCGACAATATATATATATATAGGAACTTATGAATAAACGATTCTTCCCCCAGCCATACGAATATTGGCAGCTGGTTGTATGCAGTAGTACATCTGGTATTGTGCACACACTTTTGCTCACATACTTGAGAAGTTAAACTATTCCTTAGATACTGACACAGTGAAATGCAACACAGCTCATGCGCCTTACAACAACACTGTATAATCCGTTGGAGTACAGTACTATTCGAGCCACTAAAATCGAGATAGGAAACACCCTCTTATTTGGCCTTGTATGGACATGTAAAGGTTAGTATTCACTCGAGGAATCAGATTGACCCACTAAGCAAGAGAATATATATATATATATAGAAAGATATAAACGTACAATGGTCGGAAGTACGTGTGGCAGACACCCACGTGTCACGCACAGTCCGAAACAGTTGGTATTTCTGGACAGCACAGCCCCGCACCTGTATTATAAACATCTATCTGCACATACACAAGGATCTTCAGAATATATACATATATATATATGTAAACCGCTCTTGTGCACTAATAGGAGTGACGCGTGAATTATATTAATATACAAGTTTTATCTGAAACCTTGCCAAACGACGACATCAACCATACATGCATAATCCAAGGGCACGATAAGTGTAACACAAGCAAATAATCTATGTAGACACGCCCAGCAATGATAGCATCGTGACGATAGCTACAACTTGTGGGAATATATAGATATATATATTGAAACAAGAAGGCGCATATATGCCAATACACATTAACAGACATATAAAAACGGGATACGGATAAGCACACCAGCGACAACGTACCCAGCAAGATAGCACTCGCAGCTGTGATGCCAATGGCAGGGGCACGCGATCGCAGAAGAGACGCCGCACGAAGCATATTTATATTATATCAACCTGATAGTGAGCAAGGCAATGCGTGTTAGGGGGATGAAGTATATATACATACATAATAAACCACGTTCAGTTCATATATATATATGTGCGCCGTCTAAGACCAGTCTGAGTACACGTTAAGAGTAGTCTGTGCTTGACATAAATGATTTCAGATATAACTACACAAAGCAACAGAAATATGCCATTGAGCGCATAAATAAGGAAAAGTGTAGAAACAAATTCAGATGATATTCACTATATATATACATATATATACTGATTGTACATGAGAAAAAAGAAACGTTACGGCTTGACACTAGGTATAATATGAAATATCAATATACATATATTCTCACATACATAAGCCCCCCAAGGACATAATCAGTGACAATCCATATATATGTCAACGTTAAAATATACAACTGATTTTATCTATATGTATACTCATTAAGCATATACGACCTTCAAGTTAAACTATTCTATTCATATACACAATACATTATAATGTCATCATATAAACGTGCGCCTACGTGTGTTAGTTCACGTTTGTCTACATAGATACCTTTAATTGTAGATATACAAATGGGCATACAAAATATATATATACTCACTAAATACGCAAAATATGAAAATGAACACAAATATACACGCAAATATATTATGAATAGACGCGAATATACAGAATATACATAGAAATATACTAATACAAGCATGCATACATGCCTATATATATATATATACATAAACATATATAATACGAAATAGATACGTTTGTGTCTATGTTTGTGTGTGAAGAGTACCACTTAAATATATATATACAAATATTTGTATGTAATACACACACAGATATATATATACATGCAAGTATACATATTTATACACATATACATATATATATGTGTAAGTGTACATATGTATAGAAACATATACATACCTATATACACGTTTACTTTTACATCCGCCCCCTCTATATATATGATTTTACACACACAGATATATATGTATATGTATGTATATATATAGTGTGTACGTTTACATATGTATAGACATTTTCATATACATATCCATATATTTATAATATGCGCATATAAATATATATCCACTCACCTCCCCCCCCCACACACACATATATATATACATTTACGTGTAAATATCCATATATAGTAATACACATATACACATATATGTCGATATTTGTGTATGTTTGGACATATGTATGTTACG